GCTCATTTGATTAGGGTTGTTTTATGAGCGGTACCTATTAACAATGGAACATGAGAGTCGATGTAGATGACTTTACCAGGAAGAATTATAGAAATATATGAGTTACCTGTTTATGTGGGACAACAAATACAATAAATATGAAATTGAATAAATAGAAATATGATAAGTTTTTCATTTTTTAAGCTTTTGGGCTTCCAAATAATTTTAAGATAATTAGCTTTATAGCCCTGAGGTTATTTTAGGTGCCGCATTGAGATGAAGATATAGGCCTGAATCCCATTTCCCAAAGTCTTTCTCCCACTACCCCTATAAATATTATACAAAGAAATAAGGCTGTTAGAAGCTGAGCTGTTAGCAGTGCTTGTTGATTTCTACATATTGTCTGCATGTTTCATAAGAACAGTCATCAGTCTTGCTACAAAAATCAGCATGCATTTGTTATGCTTGTCACAGAAGAAAAAACAATTTTTAAAAACACTCTGTTGAAAAATAAAAGCACATGTAATAAACGTGGGACCCAGAATTTAAGGTGAGACAGACAGTGGGATAATTCAAAGCGTTTATTTCAAACAAACTAGCAGATCTGGGAATCTGCAGCGGCTGCAGCTACAGCGTCTGACTGGAAGCTCTGGTAGAGAGAAACACAGATTAGTGACTGCGATAATCAGACGGAGGATGATTATGTACATGTAAGCCACTAACCGGGTTTAACAGCACAGTCCAGTGTCCAAAGAACAGGGATGGTTCCAGCCAGTCGATGCTACAGAGTTCCTGCAGAGCTGACAGGAGGCCGCAGACAGGCAGGCGAAACAAAGGCTCAGGAATCATCTGCCGCTGTTGGCTGGGAAACCTGGAGCCTAAACTGGAAACTGGAACAGGTGCATCTGATGAGGAACAGGGCAGAGCTAGACAGGTGAAGGAAATGAGCAATCAAGCCAGAATCATGAAACTATGAAGTATTTAAAACATGTATGGTATATCTGGTAATATGTTAAAAAAAACAAAAAAAAAAACAAGTTAAACAATATACAAAATGGACATTAGGGCTTGCAGAAAGCCCTTTACAAATACTTATTTAATATTAATCATAAAATGCAGTGAAAATATACTTAAGAATGGGGAAAAATTGTGTTTTTAACTTTGGTAATAATTCAGAATGGGATGGATGGATGGATGGATGGATGATGGATGGATGGATGGATGAACGATGATGGATGGATCAATGAATGAATGATGGAGGATGAAAGGATGATGGCTGGATGGATGGATGATGGAAGGATGATGGATGGATGAATGATGGAGGATGGATGTAATGTTTTGCCCTGAAAGTTAATTAAAATCTTAAATCAAAATCCCAGTTTAGTTCATTCGTATTCAAACGTGAATAGAAGTAGATCCTATAGAGCCGCCAGCGCCCCACTTCCAGCAGCTGTGTTTAAAACTCTTATTGGTAGAAAACAAATCTTTCCAATTTCTATTCTACAAAACTTTCATCAATTAGACTTTCAAAATAAAAGTAAAATGATTTCTACGCTAATTTCATGATAGAAGCAGTGAGGTCTTTTTACCAGAGTCATCCTGTACATTATATACTCCATTGCTTAACATGAATTTAAAAAATATGAAGAACATAAAATAACCTTAGCAGAACATTCACCCTACAGACAACGAAGCAGAGATAATTATTCCAACATTCTCAAATCTTTACCTTATCTCACCTCTCTGTTTGTCTCCTGTTTTGATGGATCCAAATCAAAGATCTGCTTCCCTCTGCACACTCCAATCTAGCCTGGGTGTTCAGCTCAGGTGGCACACTGACTTTTTCCACAGAACGCCCATGTGTCTTGTTTGAAGTGAGCTTGGCTCTAGGAAACAACCTCCAGATTTAAACATCAAACCCAAGAATCAAGCCCCCCTAATGGGCACCCCACTGTGGGCAAGAATTAGCTGGAATAACCCCCGCTAGCAGGCTTACTTCTCTAAATGCAAGGGCCTCGGAGGATGTGATACAGGGCTGGAAGGGCAAGAGAAAAATGGGAAACTGCTACAAAGAAGAACAGGAATTTACCAGGAGAAAGGTTTTTTTTTTTCCACATGTACAGTATATGTGCAAACAGGAAAACACACAAAGTGTTTTCTCTGTGCTTGGTATGTGGATGCTTGTGATGAGGGAACAAGACTGTGCGTCCTTGTGCAGCATTGCATGCTTTCATTCTTGCGTGTAAGAGGGTGGCAGACAAAAAAAGAAAGTGGGCGTCCGTAGAGACAGACAGCAGTCAGTGCCTCCAGCAAGCTCAGAGCTCACAGGCTAATGTATACTTGCACCAGGCCGTACCAGAGAGAAGGTGACACCAGTCAATCCCATTTTGACAGGGCAGCTGAGATAATAGCTGGCTTTGATTCCCAGCAATAACTCCTGCCAATCAAAATGAAAGGCATCATGATTGCAGGGAACCACAAGCGCGCATCGTAACAACTTACTGTAGACTGTAGTGTGGCTAACATAATTGGCTTCTAAATGTGCTTTTGTGTTTGGATTTTTTTTTTGTGGTGCTGTTGTTTAGATGAGAGCCAAACATCGATGGAGCACGCAGACAAATGTGGAGCGTTTGCAGATTCATGCCATGATAATGTCTGCAGGGGGTTGGGGTGAGATGAACATGCAAACTGCTTGGCCCATATTCTGACAGTTTACTGTCAAGGGTCAGTGGGCGGTCTGCATGTGTGCACAGGTGCCGCCACGTGGAGAATATGGAGGTGAGTGCAAGGCCAGGGGAAGGAGCCTTTCAGGTGGAATAAAAGCATTACTGCAGTGGTGGAAAGGTCAGCTGTAAACCTGTATCAGACTAGTGGTGATCACCCTATGCTGCAGATCTCTGAGGTATTGAGCAGGCACGCTCTAATGGCTTTGATATATGAACTACAGGACTCCCTGAAGAGGTCAATACCATAGCACTTTGTCTCTATGGGCAATGACCCTCTCAAGCTCCATTTAGAAGCTTTATAACTGCAGGAAATAGGCTGGAAAGGCCTCGAACAGGGCATGCTAAAAGAGAACTAATATGAATGAAGTATTTTCTAATCACTTCTTCTATGCTCTAAACGTAGTCCCAATCAATCATTAGTAACGCTAATATAAGTGTGGGACGGTGGACACTATCAGAAGCTGATTTCAATGTGATTGAGAGGCGCAGCAGAGAATGTGAGCTGAATGAAACTACAGTAAAACAGCTGATTTATCATCCTTCCTTTTGGGAGACCAATGACACTGAAAAGACTGTTGTCAAAAAGTATTTCATCATCACTTCACAATGATGGTGAAGCTCAAACGAGAGTTATAGACCTGGGCATTGGTGACGTATTTGATGATTTATCTGGAGCTGGTGAATGGTTGTCTGTAAAATGGAGATAAAGCTTAGTTATTAGTGCGAGCAATGCCGGCCACTGGCAGAACAATCAACCTTGTTTGATTTAAGCCATTTTTCTACAAACACATGAAGGTAAAGAGGCTGCTGGCACTACGTTTGCGTATTGATCGGATGGTAACCTTTAGTGTGAATTATGAAAGAAGATACATGCTCTGTATAAATGCTCTCTGTAATTGGAATTAACAGATGCTGTTCCTATGTGGTCAATAACGAGCCTCATGTGCTATTTTTCTCTGTGCAGTCGTCTTTAGCTCTTATTCCTCTGTGGCTCTGTTCTCCAAACACTGGATGTTGTTGTTTTTTCATGGCTGTTTATGTATTCCTTTAAAAAAATAAGAACATCAGGTTGAAAATATATTAAAGGCATCAATGTAGCCTGAACAGAGAGGCTTGGTTAGTCTACTTCAGGGGTGTCAAACTGGTTCCAGAAAGGGCCGAGTGGCTGCAGGTTTTCTTTCCAACCAAGCACTAGTACCAGACTTCTATCATCTCATCAAGTTAGTCCAGTCTGAACATGATGACATTATGAAATGACTGGAGTCTGGTGTGTTTTTGCTTGGTTGGAAAGAAAACCTGCAGCCACTCGGCCCTTTCTGGAACCAGTTTGACACCCCTGGTCTACTTGCTCAGCTTTGACCACTTTTTCACCCCTTTAGTGCCTCTTTCGCACTGAAAATAACGCGTCAGCCTGTGTTTTTCAAACACCCTCCCTGGCAGCTGTGTGGCCTCTGCCCCCCGCCACATCATGTCTGGTAAAATCATCATGCTGGGTTAGCCTTGATGATGTCACCAATGCTACAGAAATCAGGAAAGTAAACAATGGAGAGCAACATGGAAGGAAGCCAGGGCGTAGGCTTTATTGTTTCTCTCTATTATCTGTCTGAATCTCTCTCCCCAGAGCTAATCCATGTTTATCGTGTAACAACTGGCAACTGGCGCAGCGTGTTGATGTCCGTACGTTGCGTTCAATGGTGTCACGTAAATTAGTGGGTCAACTCGGCTCTGCTGTTCCCACAGCAGGCCAATAAGAACCGAGGAGATTTTAACGCGAGTCTTTTGATGCAGGTAGACGCGCGTCTATAAAGGCCTATTGTTCCCGGTGTTCTGTCAGATGAGCATACGTCAGACCAGCATACCCATAGTTAACACGAATGGACAAGACATCAGATTTACGTTTATTCCTTTAGTTTATCACAAAAAATAGACTTTAAACTACCTAAATGGGCGTGTATCCCTTTAGTTATGTACAAAAGAAAACAATTTAAAGTCAGATCGCCATACGCCTAAAAAAACACCAAAAAATAAGTAATGAAATAGTTTTTTTTTATGCATGATTAAAGGGATAGACGCCCGTTGAGGTAGTTTAAAGTCTATTTTTCATATAAAATTAAAGTGATAAACTAAAGGGATAAACTGATATTAACTATGGGTATGGTCTGGTTTAAACTTTTTTTCGGGCAGAGGGGAAGGATAGAAGTTTTTTGTGGATGCGTTTATTCTCTAAAATCAAGCCTGTCTTGATTGTTCTGAGACTATTTTCCTTTCTTCTCATATTTGTTTCTTCCTTTTCAGAGTCTGTCCTCTTTGCCTTGGCTTTGCTGAGTGACTAAGTGGATCCCTACGAACCATGGAGGAGATGGACAGCAAACCCTACCAGCCACTGTCAAAAGGCCGCCATGAAATGGAGATGTCCTACACCAGCTCGTCTGACGAGAGCGAGGACGGTCGTACTCATCATCGATCCTACACCTCCAGAGAAACCCTGCCTGACTTCACTCATGAGCTTCGTCTCACTCTCGGGTCACACCGTGACAGACAGAGCAACTACAGCCAACCACAATCAGGTAGCCTCAACACTGCTAATAGTCAGGAGGACATTTAAGCTTATTGTGGTCACCAGGATCAGAAAACACTGATTATTGTGAGATATTGGGAAGATTGAATGAAAATCAATATCTATTGAACCCATTTTAGAGTATTCTAACATTATTTTCTAGTATCAAAATAATTCCTTGTTTTGAAAAGCATGAACAATAATCTCTGCTAGCTCCTCATATACCTTAAAAAAAAAAAAAACTACCATGACAGAATATTTTAGATGTTTAAAAAGGAATTGCAGGGGACCAGCCAAGGACCCATCCAGGAAAGTGGGGAAATTTTGAATGGCTACTGCTGCAAGTTGCGTAAAGTTGAAACCATAAGTGTTATGTCAGCCTGTATTTAATACTAGTTAATAAACTAAAGTATCAAATTGATCAACCAGCTGACAACAGGCTCTCTGCAGGATTCAGCAACCTCACTGGTTCTCTATCAAGCAATCTAACATCCGTTTGTTTTTACCCTTTGTTAGAAAATATAGGAAGGAGAAATTCTGCATTAAATACTTATTTGAAACAGCTACTAGATTTCAGATGAAATAAGATCATGATATATATGTTTAATTTACCTAATTCTATTGGTAAAATCTCAAACTGATCCATTCCTGATATTTTAGACACACATAAGACTCCACAGCCAGAGGTCCCTGAACGGACGTATGTGAATTACCTGTTACTGTCCACAATGAACCAAAAGGACAGTCTGAGGCAGGCAATTACCTCTTCTACGCTGAGGCCATATTTCTCTCCCTCAGCTAAACTAGGTCACCCCACACCTATCTGGCCTCACCTGAGGAAGAACACCACCCTTCATTACAAGCACTCGCAGTCAGACATGGGCTGACAAAGGCACACACTTGGGTTGACACGTGCACACTGAAGCTTTCCTCCCTGCCACTGACGGGAGAAGAAATAGGCCAAAGCCTGTTGTGATGGATGGGCTTTATGCAGGTCATGTGAGGTGTGAAGAGAAAAATTGCACCTTGTCTGGAAAACTCTGCCTTATCAATCCATGCTCTCTCTGCTCCCTCAGCCCCCTTCTACTCTATAGGACCTGCCAAAAATCATTACAAGTAGAAAAATCCATTCATTGCAGATACAAATCCTGAGAATTAGGGAAACTTTTGGGTTTGATGGTTTCAGCACCACCTGGAAGAAAGGTGTCCTGCTGGTCGCTACACAACAACTCTACAGGCCGTTAGCCATCATGCTTCAGTATCTACAAGGAGACCACGGTGTCTAAAAGCACGAGTGTTCTGCTGCGGCTTAGCAGCCTTCCTGGTTCTATAACAAACATCCTCTCCAACCATCAGTGTCATATGGTGAGGAGTAGAAGGCCCCCAAAGCAGCCCTTTAAATGTCAATGGCAGCCGCTTCTGCGAAGCACATCTGTTCATCTTTGGGCAACAGAGTTATATATAGTCTCCCCTATCTAAGTAACCAACTGTTAAGGGGAGATCATTGCCTCCAGTGACATTTTTAATGGATTACAGCGTTCCTGACAAAGATCAGCCAATTCCTCCCTCTTCTAATTCCCCACCCAGGCTCTTCATATTTCCCTTCATCTGTTAAACTGACACATCTTTTTCTCTCCTCCCTTCTTTTCCTTCTCTCTCCTTTTCCAGATGTTTATTTTTGCTTCATTATGATTTTCTTTCGCTCAGCCTCCATCTCACCTTTTCGTCTTTTTTTTTTTTTCTACAGTGCACCTCTCTCTGCTACTGCAAGCCTGTTTGCATAGCAGAAAACAGTGTTGATTGATGGACTGATAAAGAGCTCCATCCACATCCCCAATTGTTTCACACTGCATCAGAAAGACAGCCAAATAATTAGTTTTTGTTAGCTTATTAAATTAATTAGCTGTATAAACTAATCAATTCCCGCTTATTAGGTCTACAGAACTCAGAATTTTTTGCAGTCTATTATAAGCTGTCATATGAGGGTGTTATCATTTGGGAAATCAGAACATCCAGTAAAAGTAAGAAAACAACAATTTCCTATTTTAAACCTCTTTAGGTAAACTCACTTATTTTACTGTCTTACTGTCATCCTGAGCTTATTTAGTGGATCTTCAAAGTCAAAAGCTTGGCTTATTTTTGCTAGCTTGGGCTTTACATCTGTAATAATAGTTCACACACTATAATTCCTTTTTATTCCCCTCTTGGAGCCGTCCGTCCTTCTATTTTTGGTTTGGTTTGCTGATGGTCATTTAATAATAAGGAGGCTATTTTCTTTGTGCTTTTATTGGTCAAGTTACCAACGATTATAAAGCATTCTTGAAAAAACACACAGCTTACCTCAGTAGTGTGCATGTCCATCTCTTTATGACCACAGTCTTCTCATTATTCTATAACTTATTCTTCCTGGATGATCAGATGATCTGATGTGGAGAGAAAGCAGCTTTAAAAACAAAGAGTGAGTTCACTGTTCTTTATACAAAATAAAACCCAGCTAAAAGGCACCAATATAATCCAGAGGCCGCTCTGCCACAAGCTGCTCTTCATCTGCAGTAATTACCGCATGCTACATTTATGTTTTTTAAAGAGATTTTTATTTCATTTTAGTTTGATTTTATATATTAAAACTAAATTGCAGTTTGCTGTAAAAGCAATGCACACTCTATTCCACAAATTCTTCCTATTTCACTAAGAGCTAATCCAAATTTTTCTCCAGTGGTGTTTAGATTTCACTATCTCTTTATTTCTTTACTATCTTTTTATTGTTTAGGGGTGTTTTGTAAGAACTCCATGTTCATTCTAAGCCAGGTGCTTCATTAAGGTTTTATAAAGACAGTCATTCTTTTTAAATTCTTTTAATATGGTAAATTCTAAATTAAGAAATATTTCCTTAAATATATAAAAGATAACCTTGTTTTCTGTGGAAAAATCATTATCAAATTCTGAAAAAATACAGACATTTTAATCTAATTCTTATAGAAATATCTAGACCCCATGTCAGGCTGAAGGGAATTCAAATAGTTCTTAAACAGCAAATATTTTCTTTCACTTTTTATCTAAATTATTTGTCTTTGTTTTCATGATCTCTCTTAACTTGGAAAGACAATTTATTTTTTTAGCCAAATTTTAAAAGGAAGAGAAAACACCAGACAGTGGCATAAAAGAGGCAGGTTAAACATTTATGATCATTACGATAATGATTTATTGTTAAAAAGATCATGTCAAAGGAAAAGTATTACTTTCAATTCTATTCAGTGTATTTCTATAGCTCCAATTCACATCATGTCATCTCAGGTCACTTTCCAGTTCACCAGATCATCCAGTCAGATTGAT